ATCACATACCATCCTTTTGGAATGCGTTGAAGGCGCAGGACAGGACCCTGAGGTTACCAGAGTTTTGGATGAGTTTTGTAGGCTCACTGGATACCGCAGGTGCCACACCGAACTCAATCTCAGCGATTTGGTGCCCAGCCGTCGCAAGCGTTGGTGGTGTGTCCTCACTGACAGGTCCATGCCAAGTTTTGTCCTGCAGCCATTGCCAAAGCTGAGCCCTGCACCAGTCGTAGGTGAGTTGTTGCCAAGTATCCCAATTTGGTCGTCTAAAGAGCTCCAACAACTTGAACTTGACAGGTATGAGACCGGGAAGTTTCAGGAATTTGGTGGCCTAGCATCCAATCTGGTGACCTTGGATTCAGTTTGCAAAACAGCACTGCATGGTTGGAGTAATCAACTGAACGCATGCCCCTGCACGTGCAGAAGCTACCCATTGAGGGAAGAAAGGTTGAAAGCGAAAGGGATTTTTGGAGCCCTCATCCCAACTGGAGGAACCATTCAGACCCATTTTGGGGATCTTCCTGCCACAAGGCATTTACACCCTTGGGAAATTGCTCTTTTGAATGGGATGGATCCATCACTCGTTTGGGGGGACAACTTAAGACTTGCGATTGCAGCGGTAGGACAGCTTGCCTCTCCGGTCCAATCATGTTGGATTGCTGCCCAGGTTATGGCCATACGAGCATCCCTCTTTGACCTTGAAGCGTTGCATCCGGCCCACTGCCTGTGGAATCACTTTGTCACCATGTATAGAGGGGTTGAATCCACTCAGCCTGCAATCGCATCGCATCCGACCTTCCGAAACTATTTTGCCAGAGTCCACTCAGCCTTGGCCGACGTGTATACAGCTGGCATTGGCCCAACCACGATGAGGCCGGCAAACTTGGATGGTTGCACAGACCGAGAGCTTTCTGATGCCCAGACCCTCACAACCAGTGCACAAGCAATGACTCCCGGAATTCAGGCGACTCCGGGTGACCGTAATGCCTGTTCCCTTTCATGCCCCGGAATCCAGGCCACTCCGGGTAACCACAATGCCTGGGAAAGCACACACATGCTGGTTGCTGAGAAAGCCGAGGTTTGTGCTGAACATGCAAATGCACCTGTCCAAAGCCCCGGAATCCAGGCAACTCCGGGTCACACAAATGCCTGGCCTTGTTCATGCCCCGGAATCCAGGCCACTCCGGGTCAACAGAATGCCTGGTCATGTTCAAGCCCCGGAATCCAGGCCACTCCGGGTCAACCGAATGCCTGGGGAACCAAAAGTAGGGAGGGCAATGATGTAGGAGGGATCCTTTCACACAACCCTGAGGGAAAGCCAGCTGACATGACATGCCAAGATCCCCTGCCTGCATTCCAAGTCCGCCCAAGGAATGAATGCCCGAGGAGCTGTGAGCAACCAGATCCCAAGCCCCTTGTGACATACGACCAAGCCGATGATCCGTTGAATGCAATTGCCAAAGAGCCCGGAATCCAGGCAACTCCGGGTCACCTTAATGCCTGGGATGTTTCACGCCCCGGAATCCAGGCCACTCCGGGTCACAATAATGCCTGGTCATCACCCCTCCAGCACTGCCATTCCAGTGCCAAAGTTGGAGGAGAGCAGAGACATGTGCATGTTATGCCGCGATGCCTTGCTGAACCCACCATTGCAGGAAGCCGCACACAGGATGCTCATGAGAGTCTGCAGAAACTGCCTGTTGCCACCTCTGGCCGACCAGCTGACACCACACACCATGCTCCTTCTCCCGAGGATACTGGCCCCGAAAGAGACCTACAGAAGACAGGTACTGGAGCTGGACCATTGGATGAGGTCAACCCCCATAAGAGGGTCAAAACCCATCATGCTGACCTGAAGCCACAGTGTGGAGGAATTGCCGCCTTTGCCACAGGGATTCCAAGCCAAAAGGAGCCCCTTGCAATTGAGTCCGCAACCACCACTGTAGGAAGCTCCCCTGACCGAGGAAGTTTTTCCCAGGAGCTTTTGGACTGGGCCAATGAATTTGACCCACCGACAGACCAGAAAACGGATGAACACTTCGACCAGGTGCAGACTGTTGAAGGGGATGGCCACCTTCAAGCCAATGACTGCCCTCTTGCCCAAGCAATCCAGACCACGGAAGATCCTGCTGATTTGTGTCGTTTGAAACATCCAGTTCAAGTCATTCGCACTGACGATTCACAGCCGAGCATTGTCCAAGTTGAAGCCGATACCACAGTAGGTTCTATTGCACTTGCCGAGGCTAGGCTGCATGTCTTTTCCCAACCTGTCAGGGCCAACACTAGTGTAGGCACGCAGCTGAAATGTGGAGAGGTCACCACGCCGATGCAGCAGATCTACCTCCGAGAAATGCCAGGTTGTGGAAGTTCTCACTCATGCATTTCAGGCTGCATGCCTGACCTATTGAGGTCGATCGAGCCTTGCCCACGCCTCCAACTGCTTAACCACCAAGAAGGATGGGTTGCATTGGATGAAATCACCTTTTACCTTGCCATGCTCCAGGTAGCAGGTATTGCAAAGGTCGGTGAGATCATGATCATGCCTGAGTCAACCTTGGATGAAGAGATGGAACCAATGCTTCAGCGGTGGATGTGTAGACTGGCCCCTTTTGATGCAACACCAGGCACCATCGTCACTACCTTATGGGTGGACCACCACTGGTTCCCGGTAGCCATCAAATTGAATGAAGGAGACATGAAGGTCTACACCACCCCAGGAGGGAGAGACTGGCTTTTCCTTGCCACGAGAGGTTTGGGGAATCACATTTCCATCCACACCATCGAGTGTGGGTCCACCTTCAACAATGACTGTGGATTCCAAGCCGTAGGATGGCTCATGCAAGCTGCACTGGACACGGATTTTGGCACCAAAGGCTTCAAGCATACGCCAGTACAGATTGATTCCGCCTGCACCTGGAGGTCCCTGTTTGAACACCACTTGAGGGCTTGCAACCTTCATTTGGCTGCCACTGTCCCGCGACACTTCATCTTTGGAGGCACGGGTAATGGGGAACTTGCCGAAAATCTCTCCAAATTGCTCATTGACAGGGGTGTTCCTTCCGACGCAGCCAAAGAAAGAGCACACCTGGTCATCGACAAGTTGGGACGCCAAGCAACCCTCAGAGCAATGAGACTCTCTGACCCGTGGAGAGAACTCAAGCAGCTGGCCAACCAGCAGATACCAAAATTCCAGATCGTTCTTTCCAGTGAGCTCCAAGCAGCCATCCAACTGAGGGCGAGCCAGGACAAACCTGTTGGGAACAAAGCGAAGAAGGTCAAGAACAAGGTCACTCCAAAGCCATTGAAACTCACAGCAGCGGATGTGTCTATCCCGGAGGGCGTATTCCTCAACTCTGCCAATCAAAGCCTGACCCAGATTGCATCCGGCAGAATTGGACCTCAGGCCAGTGGTGTTGTTGTAGTCTCAGCACATGAAGCCATCCCCTACCTTAAGGTCACCCAGGCGATCTCGCAGAAGGCACTTGGACTCCTCGTCCTTGACCACCAGGACCCAATGCTGGAGGGAATTGGCACGCAATTGCGATTCCCTGCCAAGTGCGAACGGACAGGAGAAGCCATCATCCTCACTGCCAGGTTGATCCAACTGGGAGTAGATCAGGTCCAACGTGCAGCCCCTTCTGGCCATGTTAGAGTCGAGGAAGTCTCGAATCATGTCCTTCGCACGGATACCATGGAAAGACTTCATCGCCAGGCCCATCAAACACATCATTGCCGATATCCCATGCCTCCAGCCGACCAATGGACACAGCCCCATCATTGATGTATGGGACAGACAGTTCTTGAATGATCGACTTGAAAGGATGAGGCCAGCGGATGCCACGGTCTTCAGTGTATGTTTCCGACTCGAAAAGACGGAGATCGAACAGGAACTCCAAAGGTCGGGACAGAATGGGCATTACCTTGAACCGAGATCTATCGACGGACGTTCCCCTGATGCAGCCTATCGGGTCATTTGGCTCAACAAGGCAGACAAACAAGGCTCGACGATTGCCTCTCAGTCCACCACAGAATGGAATTGCATTGTCAGGTCAGGCACCAGGTTTGGTCTCCGTGTCAAGACAGAGGACGCGCAGAAGGTGCATATCCAACACAAGCCGGCCACACCCTACCTGGATGGTGAAAAGCTTCTCCTTTTTCATGCAGGTCCATTCCCTCATGGTTCAAACAGAGCCGCGCTATCGAAACTCTTCCAACAGTGGGGCTGGGCAGCGAGGCCTTGTCAGCCCAAGTCAAGGGACCCCAGTGGGCTAGGTGTGATTTGGGAAGTCCAGGCAACCAGCCTGCCTCCCTATGAAGTGTATCAACTGCAGCACTCCGATGTTCTCATCTCAGAGATCCCCAAGAAACAGGCCAAGCCAGCCCCACCTGCGTACGTGCAGGGATCAGCCAAGACCCTTGCCGCCTTGCAAGGAAAAGACAAAGATGGTGATGGCCCTGACCCGTGGGAGCAACATGACCCCTGGGGTGGCTATCAGACACCTGTCAAGGTCCAGAAGAAGAGCCTGGAAGCCCCAAGAAGCGATCAGCTTGATCTCATTGCGGCCCAGGTCGCACAAAGATTGCAAAGCACTGGCAAGCCACCCCACCACCACATGGATGAAGGGGATACGCCAATGGCCGATGAGGAAAAGTGGGAAGGGTTTGAGCAGCGGCTTACAACCTTGGAGCGCAACATGCATGAGCAGCGAGAGCGCCAAGACAGACAGCATGCAGAGGTCAACAACCAAATCGGTCAGATTCAGCAACAGGTTGACTCCCAGTCTGTCAACATGCAACAGCACCTTGACACGAAGATGGCTGAGCAATTGGCACACATCGAACGCCTGTTGACTGCCTCCCGTGACCCGAAGAAAGGGCGCTTTGAATGACTATACCGGCTGGTGGCACAGTTTGTGCCACTGAAGCCGGTATTCAAGTTGCCGATTGCTCATGACACGGAAACCAACTCCGCCCACAGGAAGTTCTCCCGTACCTGCGCGATGGAAAGCTACCATCCTTCCCCCGGAATCCAGGCAACTCCGGGTCAACAGAATGCCTGTACAACTGACCATAAGCCGCCAAGAGGTGCTTCCTCAGGAAGGCTTGTGCAACCACGAAGACCCATGGGTGGAAGTTTTGCACACATCCTGCTCCTCCTGAGTCTTATGCTTGGAGCCCAAGCCACGAACAGTGAAGTTGCTGATTGCATTCCCTTCGGAAAGGCCACGCAGCAGTGCAATTTTGTTGGAACCTCCCGAAAGCCACTGGGTCTCCCCCAAGCTGATTGGGCAATGCCTGGCACCAGTTTTGCCGAAGTCAGGCCAGTTGACCATTCACCGTATCATGCAGGCCAAAGTGGCAGATGGGCCGTGAGTATCCCCCCAGAAAACCAAGTGAACACCCAACCATGGGATGATATATCATTCATGGCCGTTGGTAGTCGCCACAGGTTAACACCAGCACCACCCGTTGCGGTTTTTGATAATCCTGCAGCTGCCATTGATCCTGACGAAGAAGAGTTCCCAGACACCACCACTGCAGAGTCAGAGGACTCTGATAGTGAGGATCCAAATTGGCAGTTGTCTGCACTATTTGCCACGAATGGGCAGGTAGCACAAATCCAGGTTAACCTTGTGAGCCATGCCCTACAACGACATCAAATCGCCCAGGCCTTGGGTTGGAACGATGCTGAGATTGTCAACATCCACCAAGTAAGGGTACGACCGAAAGATCTTGTGGAACAACGCGTGCATGTGAGACTCATCCAACACACCAGAGACCCGCCGAGTCACTCTGACATGAGATTAGTGCTTTTGGACATCACCCTACACCCGCCAGCTCCACGAAGAGATGCGCAGTACTTCAGGGTCGCATGTACCGTCATGGAACAGATAACCATCCAGCAACTCTTGACTGTGCTCAGACTCCGGAATTTCTGCGCATACACACGACTCCCATGCCTTGCCTGGAGAAATGAAGTGTACTGGAGCCTCCACTCAGACGAGGTTGTTTCCTTGGTCTCAGGTGACTATTTGCGGCTCGAGATTGCGCCCCCCAATGATGAACAGGGATGCTGTGACACACGTTGTCTGATCACAATGATGGAAGAAGGATATGACCCTGAGCATGGGATAATCTACCAAACCATCGTGGATGAAATCTACTGGTGGAGGATCCCAAGTCGAGTCTTGCGTATTCACCAGCCCATTGAAGGCGATGAGACAGCCATGCTCCAGTTAACTGCCCATTTCCTTTCCCCAAAGCACACCCACAGCTCAGACCAGCCTGCCAAGGGGCGTCAGGAAAATGTACAAGCCACTGCACCCAAGCCATTAACCAGTGTGCCGATTGTGACCCGACGATGCCCCGGAATCCAGGCAACTCCGGGTAACCAGAATGCCTTGGACACTCCAACAAAGGGAGGATCTGTTCCTGACCCCCATCCTCCCGTCCCGACAGAAAGAGTTGGTGAAGCAACTAACCCAGGCCCGATCATAGGAACCACCAATCCTTGCGGTGCACTGGGAAAGGCGTCCATGTTTGATAATCTGCCGGGTGAAGACCCTGAGCCTCGGATCTGGGGGATTGCGGAAACTCACCTTACTTCTGTAGGCCTGACCCGATTTCGACAAGAACTCAAACACCAGCAGACGTCCTGGCGAGTCATTCATGGAGCACCTGCTGAGCCAGTCAGCCAAAGTATTGGAGCCATTGGAGGTAGGCACACAGGGGTTGCCGTCTTGTCTAATAGCCCAATCAGAGCCTTGGCCACTAGCTGGGATGACCAAGCCTGGAAGACCAGCCGCATTTGTGCGTGTGCTATCCACGTTCAGTCCCAGTGGATAAAAATGGGGTGTTTCTACGGTTTTGCCAGGGACGCGCATACGAGGGCCACAAAAGACAAAACAGACAGCCTTCTGCAGCACCTCACCGACAGAATCGTGCTACAGGCCAGGGGATACAGAGTAATTGTTGGTGATTTCAACGCACTCACCAGCGACCTCCCTCAATTTGCCCTTTGGGAAAAGTACGGATTCCGAGAGCTCCAAGAAATTGCAGCCACAAGGTGGAATCGACCCATTGCAAATACCTGCAAAGGTAACTCAGTCAAAGATCATGTATGGGTCTCACCTGAGCTGGCAGACAAATTGCTTGAGGTCCACACCTGCGATTCGTACTTCCCAGATCATGCCATTGTTTATGGTAAGTTTGCCGACTTCACCCCCCCGATTCCTGTCAACATTTGGTATAAGCCGCACCCGATCCCGTGGGAATCCATCCCTGCTGACCATGCCTGGCCAGAGTGTCTCCCAGTTGGACAGACAGTCCCTGATGTCTTCCGCATCTTAGAGGATGAGGCAGATCGTGCACTACGATCCCACACCAAACATGGGCTGCTTCAATGCCAAAGAGGTCGCTCCACAGTGACTGCCCCAAAAAGAGCATGCACAGGGATCACCCCACCGAAGCCATCACGCAAGCATGAATACCAGATCCAATACATGGGGGAGAGCTTCCAGCATACCTTGTGGACCCGGCAGCTTAGGCGTTTGCAGAGCTATGTCAAACTTGTGACCAAAGAGCGGGAACAAATTGCATCCATCCATCACAGAGAAACACTATGGCAGAGCATCCGAAGTGCAACCGGATTTCCTGGTGGTTTCCCAAAGATGTGGATCAACCGCTCGTTCATACTTCCGGGCGCCCCTGTTCATCTGCCTAAGCACCCGCCAGCACACGCAGAGGGTCTTGCCATCTTCACCGCCTTCAAGTTAGAATTTCAGGCACTGGAAAAGGCACTGATTGCAAAGCGATCCCAGGCGGCCAAAGCCCGACGACTGGATGACCCCAATGTCATCTATGCAGATGTAGGTAAGGGACGTGCCCTACCGGTCCAGTCGGTAGTGACCCAAACCCATGCTGAAGTCGTTGAAGTGAGTGAGGATGGCATGACGTTGACATATTGCCCAGCCCAGTTTGACACAGAACAAGAAGTCTGCTGCGCCAATGGATGGCTGCGAATCCAACAGCATACACCGGGAAGCATCATTCTGGGAGCCGAACACTCCCTTGAGGTTGGTGATACCCTCCATCAAGACAAAATGAAGGGAACACCGCAAGAAGTCTTCAAAGCCTTCGAGGACCTATGGAACCCTATGTGGAACCGACATGTTGAGGACCCACCGACAAGATGGGATGGGTTTGTCCACCAGCTCCTGGATACACCTGCTGTTGCCACCCCCATGGCATTGCAACCAATCACAGGTGAATCCTGGAGAACAGCAGTGAAGCAGAAGAAAGCCCGTACCTCTACGGGACCTGATGGAGTCAGCCGCACTGACCTCCTGCGCATGCCACCCAAGCTCACCGAACAGCTGGTCCAACACATCCAGGCCTTTGAGCAAGGGGTCCAACAGTGGCCACAAGAAACATTGGTCGGCCACATCACAGCAGTGGAGAAAAAGGAAGGGGCATCCAGCCCGGCTGATTTCCGCCCAATCACGGTGTTAACGCTCCCTTATCGAACATGGGCATCAATCCGAGCCAAGGAATGCCTTCGCTTCCTGGACCTTTGGGCAGACGAAGGCCTGCGAGGCAACCGGCCGGAGCAGAGCACTTCTACCATATGGTGGCAGATTTCCCAGGAGATTGAAGCCTCCGTCTTTGCAGGAGCAACACTGTCCGGGTTTGTTACTGATGTTTGCAAGTGCTTCAACACGCTTCCAAGGCCAGTCGTTTTTGCATGTGCACTCCACTATGGCCTGCCCAAAACCTTTGTCAAGGCTTGGCATGACGCAGTTGCACGCATACAGAGGCACTTCATTGTTGCTGGAACTTGCTCGGGCCCCAACCTAGCTTGTACAGGATACCCGGAGGGCGACCCACTGAGTGTAGTCGCTATGGCACTGCTCAACATGGCCATGCACCACATTGTCGCAAAACAGGCAATGCCATCCTCCATCATCAGTTTTGTCGACAATTGGGAGTGTAAGTCCACAGATGTTCATGCCACCTGCCGTGCCTATGCGGCCATGGAGGATTTTGCCAATATGGTTGACATTCGACTTGACCACAAGAAAACCCATTTCTGGCCGGTCACAGCCGATGACCGTAAAACCATTGTCAGGCGTGGCCACCGGATCAGTCACCACTGCGCAGACCTGGGAGGGCACCTCAATTACACCAGGCGCTTCACCAACTACACCATCCGTAGTAGGATTGCAAAGGCCAAGGTTTTTTGGGGGCTCCTCTATCGAAGTACCTCCCCATTTGCACAAAAACTGAGAGCCATCTGCACTGTTGCCTGGCCGAGAAGCCTCCATGGAGCCTCTAATGTTGGACTCGGTGATGAACATGTCGGGAAACTCCGCACCTCCATGATGAACGCAATGAGATGGAACAAGAAGGGAGCCTCTCCGCTGCTCCAAGCGCTCCTCTTGCCACCCAGATGTGACCCGGGATTTTACATCCTCATGGATACATTCCTCATGTTCAGGAACGCATGTGTGCCTGACCTCATGTTCCCAGTCCTAACAGGGTTGACCCTCGCCCCACCGAAGCATTTTGACCCTGGACCTGGCGGAGTTTTCCTATCCAGGATGCACCAACTCAATTGGAGGTGGGATCACAATGGATATATCCTTGATCATGAGGGACTGAGGTGGCATATCCTTGATTGCCCCATCCAGCTTCTGAAGTCACGCCTTCAACATGCATGGGGTGCGATGATAGGTGCCTTGATGTGCAACCGAAAGGAGTTTGAAGGTTTAAGCCGAGTGGATCTCCCGACCACCAAATCGACAGCTCAGAACTTCTCCCCTGACGGAGCTGGCCTGCTCCGAACGAGCATGAACGGCACATTTTATACCCGCAATAAGCAGATACATGCAGGCAAAGTGCCAAGCAAAATTTGTCCCTTTTGCGAGGCAGAGGACTCAGTTGAACACCGCATCTGGGCATGCCAAGGGTTTTCAGATCTCCGCGCCATCCCACCCCCGGAGGCACTGGCCACCATCCAAACCATGCCACCTTGTACGAGGCTTCATGGATGGTTCGTCGAAGATGAATGTGACCGTGATTTTCGAGCTGCCCTCATGGAGATACCAAACACAACTGGACAGTTGTTCCTGGAAAAGCCAGTGCAACCACATCTCCATCTTTTCGTTGATGGGTCCTGCACAGAACCGACGCGACCGTCCATGCGTGTCGCTACATGGGGAGTTTCTTTGGCAAACCTGCCCGATTTTACCTTCAAGCCAGTTGCATCAGGCGGAGTTGTCGGACTGTATCAGACGGCACTGCGTGGAGAGATTACCGCAGCTATCGCCGCCTTTCGGTTCGGCCTTTTTGCCAAACAACAGTTCAGCATATGGACGGATAACTCCATTGTCCACAAACGACTGAGATCCTTCCTGCGTGCTGATGCAAAGCCTCCCAAAGCCAAGCATAATGACCACGACCTGTGGAATGAGCTTTTCAGACTTGTGCAGACGGCCAAAGACAGCCGCCTTATCCAACACGTGGTGAAAGTCACCTCCCACCAGACGCAAGAATTTTCCGAAACAATCGAAGATTGGGCCCGTAGAGGGAATGACCATGCAGACCGAATTGCAGGTATGGCCCTGCACCAGTTGCCAACGAAGTTGCAATGCTGCAGGACACGCTTACGATCCTCCATGGATAAGCGACAGGTTGCATGCCAGCACTTCCACCAGATGCTGGTCAATTTTGGGCTTCGATGTGTTGAAAGTAAGAGTGAGGTAGAGAAGGGTGATGAGAAGAGATGGGAAACCTCCCAGAAGAAACAGGACGAAGAGATGGTTGAACTCAGTCTCCTTGGGTTTGAGAGTGCCACGCAACCACCTCCGTGCGTTAGATTTGGGGACTCCATTGACTTGCTCCATCCCTGGCTCCGAAAACTCATTACTGCCGAGGACGCGATTCCCATGTGGCTCTGCTCGTACCAGCTCCTTGCCCATTACCAAGGTTCCACCAAACGCTTTGGGTTTTGGTATGATGCTGCTGCAAAACGTTGGGGTGTTGCTGATGAGGTGATCCACACAAAGCAGTTTGATTACCTCCGTCTGGCTGCCTGGTTACAGGCCTTGATCAAGGACTACGCCTCTGCGTTGCAAGTGCCCGTGAAGGCCACGCCGAGGCTACCTTGGGGTTCAACCTTCAAGGCATACCAGCGTTGCATCTTCATCAACGCATCCCCCAGTGAAATGACGCGCATCGATGCTGCATTCCGGAGGGCTGGCTTCGCAAATATCAAGAAAGTTCGACCGGCGCTGACCAAGCTGGACGACATGAAGGGTTGCCTTTAAACACGCTGTGCGGACGCGTGATTGTCTCACCAACACGTGAACTCACCGCCGGCGTGAAACGGAAAAGGAACGACACAGGATTTTGCACACTGCTGATACTATGAGCAGTGCCCCATTCACCGCTGTTGGTGGATAGTAGTAATAATAATGATAAGTAATGATAATAGTGATTATTATAATGTAGGTATATATATATATATTAGTATATATACATTTATATATATATATGTGTCTATATGCTATTTACAGCTGGGGTTGGATTAGGCTTTTTCTACCAACTTCTGACCCTGCAGTAGCAGGCCACAACCGGGGTGACCTGCAGAGTTCATTCATCCGGCCGTCCGTTTTTTTGGACGTCGTTTGTAAGTGGTGAAATACGTTTGACTGTTACCCTCTGGTAAACTAACATAGCGAACTGGAAAATCACCATTTTCAATGGTTAAATCCACTATTTCGACTGGGCCATTTTCAATAGCTTTTTGTATGTTTACCAGAGGGTACTTCACCCAGTTGTATAGAGGATATGAATGGATTTATATGCTATGAGATGCTTAAAATTATGATGATTCTACGCAAATTTGATTGGTGATTTAATCGGCGGTTATCATCACGCTGTTTCTTTTATGAACTGACCGGTTACAGGAATCCGTATTGATCAACCAACATCGTGGCATTACATGGGGTTTTGAGCAGTGCTCAAATAAAGAGAGAAAAATAAGTTCCAATTGACCTAGACAAATAATTCAGCAGAATCTATCATGAGCTGTAAGATACTATAACTGATTGGTGGTTTGGAACATGAATTTTATTTTTCCATTCAGTTGGGAATTTCAATGAATTTCATCATCCCAACTGACGAACTCACTCCATGATTTTTCAGAGGGGTAGGTATACCAACCACCAACCAGTCATCATTATTCACCATCATTAATCATCATTAAATCACCATTAATCACCAATAACCATCATTAACCACCACTTATGAGAAACATATACTACTCATGTTCCCAGATAAGTGGTGGAATCCCCATGTTGAGTGCTCACATTCCCCGTATGTTTCGTGGTGAAGAAATCCCCCAGTGGCCGGTTACCCATGAGTCCCATCCCAGACGAAAATCCAAGCGGCCGAGAGGTAGCGGTTCAGAGAGCCGTGCTGCAGGGCATGAATGACATCAAGCCTCTCCAGGAAGGGCTGACTGGGAAGTCCCCAGGAATTTGGTTGGCAATTTGTCGGAAAATCATGGAAATTCCCTAGAAATATGGCAGAATCCTCGGAAAATCATGGTAAAAACTAGAAAATGAAGCTTGGGAGTTGGGAAAAGATTCGAACTGCCACGTTTGATCAAAGGTACATGGTGGCATCCATACTGTGTGTACCACACTTGAAAGCAGGTGGGCGGGAAAGCCGCTGGGCCCCATGGACAGCGAAAAGAATGATACAAGGTGGTGAGAAGGTATACAAGGTGGTGCCCCCGGAGTTACAACTTGCTAACCACTATGAACATCTGTGAACGATATATACCATGAACCCAAACGTATTTTTTTTTTATTTTAGCTATTGTCACCCGTTCGCTAGCGTAATTTAATGGGGCACCACCTTGTAGGTATACCGGTATACCACATGAATTTCGTCGACACACGTTTTTGAGGACTTCGCAAAGGAAAACGGCGTACCGGACGAGGACGACCCACGGGGGTAACCATGCAGTTAAGGCCCGAAATACCAGTTAAAGGTCAGTGAAATCACCCCATTTGTCAAATAATGACCCCATAAAAGTAAAAAATACAACCATTCAAAAGTGGTAAAAGTCCATAGCTGGAGTGAACTAAACCCCAATGTTTGTTGGGATAGAACTCTGATATAACCCCTGTAACTTCTAAGGCCAGCGTTTACCTCCCAGACGTCGCTGCTTGGCGGAGGATGATCCCAGACTCTATACGGCCCCCGTTTACGATAGCCAAGTTGACGCACATAAGTAGCTAACCATGGTTTATGGTGGATATAACGAACTATTTAATGGGGTGTGTAAACCAACAAACGTAACTAGGGAGCCTCACCTTGTAATCATGTACAGGTCATTAGCAAACCCTTGATAAATCCTCATGTTTGATGGTCATATAATCATATTCCCAATTTTCTGTCAATAGCTCCATTACGGATGAATCACATGATAAATGCCATGAAGTATTTCCCATGAAAGCCACCATTCATCGTTTTTGACGCTTCACGATTGGTTGAAACAACTTCGGTGCAACCCTGACGTTGCTCCGCGCCGGAATCGCGGAAGGGTTGCGTATTTATGAAATGCCATGTCGGTGGACTTTCAATATGTAGATGTATATATATGATCCATGTACATGATCACCATCGTCGTCATCATCATCATCATCATCACCATCATCATCATCATCACCACCATCCCCATCCCTTATGAAGACAAATTGATATTTGATGCCATTATCAGATTTAGCATATTTGCCACAGGGGGTGGATGATTTGTTTGATCCCTTATGAAGATATGTTGATGCCATTATCAGATTCAGCATATTTGTCAAAGGGGGTCGTGGATTTGTTCATCTCTTATGAAGATAAGTTGATGTGATTACCCCATTCAACATATTTGGCAGAGGGGGTGGTGGATTTTGGATCCCTTATGAAGATAAATTGATGTGATTACACCATTCAAGATATTTGTCATAGAGGGTGGAAGATTTATGATCCCTTATGAAAAATAATATAAGTTGATGGTATTACCCCATTCCACATGAGTTGACGCTGGTGATGATGATGATGATGGTGATGGTGATGATGATGATGATGATGATGATGATGATGATTGTAAGCGTCCGGGTTGGACGGAACAATTTCTCCACCCAGTTTTAGTTGGTTATTAAATGTTGTAAACCCATATCAAACCATTGCTGGTGAAATCCCTATTAATCACCATAGAATCCCATTAAATCCCATTAAATCACCACATATATAAAATATTAAGCCATAACTACCCTCCAATTTAACTGCCAAGCTTTCTTGTCGGCAGGAGCAGTGCACCTTTGCAAAGGAGGTCATTGTGTCCGTGTGCATGAAGGACAGCGAAGAGACGGTGCTTCAGCGCAGATGGTATGATGCGGCTTTGTATTGTGATTTAATGGGATTTAACCACCCCAAATGGGCATATTCATGGGATTTACATGGTGATTGATTTCATGGGATTTCATGGGATTCTATGGTGATTCGTAGAGATTTCATCAATCAAAATGGGAATATTCATGGGATTTAAAGCCTCTGGTTTATTCTGACATGCCAGGTCCTTGGCCGACCGACTGGAGAGGTAGAAACAAATCCCGGTTTCAGTTTCTTGCTATAGAAAATAAACTAGAACTGTTGAGGGATCAAACTGATCAAACCGTAGGCGCGAATCGGTGAGAAAATCACCAATAGAAACAGTGACTTCACCAGCCCAAATTCAGCAAAATTGTGATTGAAGCGGTAAGATTTGTTTGTTTCCTAAACCAATCTGGCAAACATGCTATATTAATCTGGATTTGTTGTTTGGATTTCTAAAATTGGTGATTTCCAATAGTTGGAGTGGGATTCAGAAATCAACATGAGCAAAACTGGTCGTGTCTGAAAAAGGAAACCCTTTTTATCTGCTGGGAAATATCATGATTATCCCTATGGAAATATTCATTTGCGGGGTACAGTCTATTTTCACACAGAGCCATGTATATATGTCTCTATATATAATATATTATATAATAATATATATATAGTATTTTTTTCATGCCCCAACCATAAGGTGTGGTTTCAAGGATTGTCGTACGTGGTTTTCGTTCACATATGGTTGACAAGCAGGATTAGGTCACCCATGGTTAAATGGGGGAACATTATGATAAAACCATATCTATAAAAATAAAATATAAACCATGGTTTGGTTTATCAACCCAGTTAACTATGATAAACCATGGTTAACTGTGATAGCACCATGGTTAACTATGACAAAAAGATAGCCCAGCTATAAACCAACTTACCTATTGTTTGTGGGCCCCACATTGTATGATTGAAAAACGACGACATATTTCTATGTTTATCTAGAATACTTTAAGTGGTGCCCCTTCTTGTTATGTTTCTTGGTTTATATTCACCCATCCAAGTATACAAACAAAACACATCAAAACAGCAACTTTACCCAACAGTTAAGCTAGGTTTATCCTCACCAACCTAGCTACCATAAACTGACTCTACATGACATAAATCCTAAAATCTTAATGTTGCGAGTTAAAAATCATCATGTTTCCATACTGTGGATGGAAGAAATCCTGCATCACCAAACGGATGGTTGACACCCTATAAATAATGGGATGTTTACCACCTATCAACTGGTGCAGGATTTCGCAACCTTCCACCGTATGTTTTACCCTCTAATTATTTAACATAGCCATGGTATAGATGGCCCATTGAAATAGATGGTTCACCTATTAATAGCATGGTGATTTTCCATGGCGAACTGTTAGTCATAACCAGATGGTACACTTGTTGTACCATCTTCGCCTCCTATGTTTGCTGCTTAAACCACGTCCTTGGTGAATCCTGGCCGAACACAGGACATGTGGCGGCAACTTCTCAGTCTGCCACCCTGGGACCCGTCACGTGGCGGCAAGTCCCCGAGAAAGATGGCGGGGTTCGTGGGAAAAGTTTATTTTACCCTCTGGTAAACTAACAGTTTGCTATTGAAAATGGCCATTGAAATAGTTGATTTACCCCATTAAACATGGAGATTTCCATAGTTAAACTAATATAAATATGGAAAATCACAATTTTTAGATATTTTTAGTGGGTAAATCAACTATTTCAATGGCCATTTTCAGTAGCTATGTTAAATTACCAGAGGGTAATTGCAATTAGTGAATGAAATTAATGATTAGAATGACAAGTTGCAATTAGTTAATGACAATGTTATTTTAATACTAACTATAATAATGGCTTTAATATGCTTAGAATTAGTTATAGCAATTGTCATGGAAGAAGCACTATTGCAATTATTTTGGGAAACTCATCAAAACAATATTTTTTATCATGGAAAAATCATCAACTGCTGGAGGGAAAGCCACAATTGCAAGAAACACGAAGTTACCCTCTGGTAAATTAAGATAGCGAAGTGGAAAATCATCATTTTTACTCGGTAAATCAACTATTTCTAAATGGCAATTTCCCAGTTAGCTACGTAACAAATTACCAGAGGGTACCATACTCTCCAGCAACGATAGCTCGGGGGGAATCCGTGGACCAGGACTAGGCTTAGTTTTTTTTCAGAAACTCATCGAACATGTGGAATTGGTGCCATGTTTGATTGGAAAATTACTGCCATTTTTGGGGAACATTACGGCATTTTTGGGGAAAATTATTGCCATTTTTGGGGAGCATTACGGCATTTTTGGGGAAAATTATTGCCATTTTTGGGGAACATTACGGCATTTTTGGGGAAAATTATTGCCATTTTTGGGGAACATTACGGCATTTTTGGGGAAAATTATTTTTGGGGAACATTACGGCATTTTTGGGGAAAATTATTGCCATTTTTGGGGAACATTACGGCATTTTTGGGGAAAAATATTGCCATTTTTGGGGAACATTACGGCATTTTTGGGGAAAATTATTGCCATTTTTGGGGAACATTACGGCATTTTTGGGGAAAATTATTGCCATTTTTGGGGAACATTACGGCATTTTTGGGAAAAAATATTGCCATTTTTGGGGAACATTACGGCATTTTTGGGGAAAATTATTGCCATTTTTGGGGAACATTACGGCATTTTTGGTGAAAATTATTGCCATTTTTGGGGAACATTACGGCATTTTTGGGGAAAATTATTGCCATTTTTGGGGAACATTACGGCATGTTTGGGGAAAATTATTGCCATTTTTGGGGAACATTACGGCATTTTTGGGGAAATTATTGCCGTTTTTGGGGAACATTACGGCATTTTTGGGGAAAATTATTGCCGTTTTTGGGGAACATTACGGCATTTTTGGGGAAAATTATTGCCATTTTTGGGGAACATTACGGCATTTTTGGGGAAAATTATTGTCATTTTTGGGGAACATTACGGCATTTTTGGGGAAAATTATTGCCGTTTTTGGGGAACATTACGGCATTTTTGGGGAAAATTATTGCCATTTTTGGGGAACATTACGGCATTTTTGGGGAAAATTATTGCCATTTTTGGGGAACATTACGGCATTTTTGGGGAAAATTATTGCCATTTTTGGGGAACATTACGGCATTTTTGGGGAAAATTATTGCCATTTTTGGGGAACATTACGGCATTTTTGGGGAAAATTATTGCCATTTTTGGGGAACATTACGGCATTTTTGGGGAAAATTATTGCCATTTTTGGGGAACATTACGGCATTTTTGGGGAAAATTATTGCCATTTTTGGAGAACATTACGGCATTTTTGGGGAAAATTATTGCCATTTTTGGGGAACATTACGGCATTTTTGGGGAAAATTATTGCCATTTTTGGGGAACATTACGGCATTTTGGGGAAACTTATTGCCATTTTTGGGGAACATTACGGCATTTTTGGGGGAAATTATTGCCATTTTTGGAGAACATTACGGCATTTTTGGGTAAAATTATTGCCATTTTTCGGACAATTATGGCCATGTTTGGGGAAAATGATCATCCTCACCTCACTGGTTGCATGAAGCGAAAAAACACCCTAGATTGCACAAAACTAACTTAAAACCCCCTAGAACTGGCAATGACGACTCGAAAATCATGGCTCGTCCAGAGCCCATTCCCGACTTCCCAGATTTTCCGAGGACAGGCGACATGAAGACAGACGAGATTCGAGAGGCGCCAAAAATCATGGGACGCTGTTTCTGTTAAACTTGAGCTTTGGCTATTGGCTATTTTTTACTGGGGTGTAAGCATCTGTGTTTCCTTTTTTGGGCTTACTGAACGATTGTCATTTTGTTTCAAGAATTTTGAAACATCGTTGCACCTTTCAAGACCTTGGTATTGAAACTTCATTGAACATCTCCCCAGTTTGACCCAGGTTGGTTACACATTTTCTTCGTGTAGCCAGTGTAGCCCACAAGAAAGGGTCCATAAATCAGGACCTCTGATTTCAGGTGATGGATGTGCAGTTTGGCGATCAATGAGATTTAATCCATGACAACAAGTGATAACAACATATACTGGTTGGTGGTTCGGAGCATTTTTTCCATATATTGGGAATAATAATCCCAACTGACGAACTCATATTTTTCGGAGGGGTAGGTATACCACCAACGAGTATACCATACAAGACCCACTTGTTGTATGTGGTCTTATTGAGAACCACGTGTTTTCTTTGATTAGGGCTACCATATTACTAGTTGTTGGTTTTGTCTACAGATGACTTCAAGTCACTGTAGCTTTGCCAAGCGGCCGCAATGAGGTGTTGCATGCCATGGTCACAGCAATGGAATGTTTTTTCCACTCCAACTGCCACCCCAAGTGGTACATTAGAGCCCAAGGGTACCGGCATGTGTAAGGTCAATGTAGCTTTGCCAAGCGGTCGCAGTGAGAAGTTTTCAATTCCAAAGTCCTCCAAAGTAGGGGACTTGAGGGTTCAGGCGCAGAAATAATTTCAACTTGGCTTCTTGAGGCTTGTGGCTGCAGACCATCACGTGGTGGACCCTACATTGTCTCTGCAAGCTGCAGGACTTGAAGATGGATACCGCCTGACAGCCATTGCCATACAGGCGAAGGTTTCCGCAACAGGATTCGCTTTCGCATTGTTTTGCTGTGAAGGTGACCGGGTTGTCGCATGGGGTTCTCCACATCGTGGTGGTGACAGCTCTGAAGTCCAAGATCAGCTCAAGAGTGTCCAGCAGGTTCAAGCAACTGACTTCGCATTTGCCGCCATCCTGGCGGAAGGATCAGTGGTGACTTGGGGCAATCGAGATTGTGGTGGTGACAGCTCGGAAGTCCAAGAACACCTCAAGAGTGTCCAGCAGGTTCAAGCAACTGACTTCGCATTTGCTGCGATCCTGGCAGATGGGTCGGTTGTGACTTGGGGCAATCAGCATAATGGTGGTGACAGCTCTGAAGTCCAAGATCAGCTCAAGGGTGTCCAGCAGGTTCAAGCAACTGACTTCGCATTTGCTGCGATCCTGGCAGATGGGTCGGTTGTGACTTGGGGCAATCGAGATTGTGGTGGTGAGAGCTCGGAAGTCCAAGAACACCTGAAGAGTGTCCAGCAGGTTCAAGCAACTGAGAGCGCATTTGCCGCCATTCTGGCGGAAGGATCAGTGGTGACTTGGGGCAATCGAGATTGTGGTGGTGACAGCTCGGAAGTCCAAGAACACCTCAAGAATTTCCAGCAGGTTCAAGCAACTGACTTCGCATTTGCTGCGATCCTGGCAGATGGGTCGGTTGTGACTTGGGGCAATCGAGATTGTGGTGGTGAGAGCTCGGAAGTCCAAGAACACCTGAAGAGTGTCCAGCAGGTTCAAGCAACTGAGAGCGCATTTGCCGCCATTCTGGCGGAAGGATCAGTGGTGACTTGGGGCAATCGAGATTGTGGTGGTGACAGCTCGGAAGTCCAAGAACACCTCAAGAGTGTCCAGCAGGTTCAAGCAACTGAGAGTGCATTTGCCGCCATTCTGGCGGAAGGATCAGTGGTGACTTGGGGTAATCCAGATTGTGGTGGTGACAGCTCTGTGGCTGCTGCCCAGTGTGCATATGTTTAGCCAGCTTGGTGATTTGGTTCCGCTTGAGTCAGCGGTTTCCCACATGGAGATGGCAATTTGGGTCCCCATGAGAGGGAAGAACATCCAGCAGCTATAGCAGCTATGAATCATACCCTACTGGTAGGTATCTTTATTGTTTATATCTTCATCCCTACTTGGAATGATGATATGATGATCTGATTTAACTTTGATGGATGGACTTGTTTCGTCGTCGTAGGTTTTTTGCCAAATTCTTTCTATTCGATTCAGGAGTATCGTAATTCACCATAGTTCAGAAAGGTTTCACCAAATCGTTTTTTTTTGTGTACTTCACCATTAATTATTTCAGTGGAACTTCACCAAATTCTGCCTTTTTAGTGGCAATCCACTATAATTTCTTGATGCTATCGATTGAATTGGGCTTGCAATTCGACCAGCAAAAAAATGCTGGTAACCCCGAACAGGCCATGAAGAAAGCCTTTCAGAAGATGGACAAGGACAATAGCCACTTGGCTACCTGAGACCGCCGAAACGGTGACATGGATAGGTGAACTCCTGGTATAGAGACAAAACTTGGAGAATCCAAGAGACAAAAAGATATGTAAATCCCATTAATGCGAACCATGGTGCTGGTATATTTAGCTACAAAATTGGTTGTTTTTTGGGCAAATGTTGGTAAATATTCCATACATGGAGCATATGGGAAGATATGTAATGTAGATATGATATGAGATATGATATAATAAACCAATACTTGTCGATTTACATCTACTTATAGATGGATTTTCCCTCATAATATATGAGTAACCGACGAAAATAGGGGGAAACGTAGTGGTCTTGGGTTTGCATCTTTGTGTCCAAAGGTTCACTACTGATAGGGGATCACCCGCTCTAGCAATGTCCTAATTTAGTACCAAATGTTCATACAGAAAAATGAGGAGGTCTCATCGCGACGTTTTGGTGGTCACAGTAAGCCACACGTTCAGACAAACCATATTTTTTCCGTTGCTCATAGTAGATCCCATTATTCATATCACCCATTTTGCTGAAGTTGAAGCAGCAGTTTTCAAATTAGATTTGCTAGAGTGGGACTAATGGATTATTTCGCTAGGAGAATAGATGGCGCAACAGCTGATTCTACCCAAATGTGTAATGTTCATGAGTTTTGTTGAGTAAAGTCTGCATCATCCATGGTTGAAACTGAACCACCTGAAACGTGGGCATCATGGCTCATCTGCGCAAAGCACCAGCCTGGGACCCATGTTTTTTTGTGAAGCCGCTCACTGCAATTCCTCAGTCACAGGTTTTCATTGCGCCATAAGCTTTCACAACTTTCCACAAAGGGCGCAGGTGTATAACAGATAGTGCAACTCAGAAACCTGCGCCTGGTACACATGATGTTTGGATTCCCATTATTGGATGTATGACCATACCATATTTACCATGTAGCTTGACCATTGCACATATGGGACAAGGTGGCCCCCTGTTAAAAGTTGGTTTTGAACCCTCACTTCCCCCATTATCTGTATATGTATGTCATAATATACATATATGTATATACATATATACACACACACCATAAACCATCAAAAAGCCTATTCATCAACCAACTCCGCTATCATGAGTTAGCTATAGCTATTTCATCACCATAAACCTACAATCGGAGGCCCCTGCAGGGCGAGCACTCGCTTGTGCACTCGTGATTTGCCTTGCTTGTGCACTTTCAATCTTCCTCGCTTGTGCACTTACGATCTTGTGGTCAATCATATTCGGGTTCAAGACTCCTGTGCCATGGGGCACAGCCACGCTTTGGTTTTAAAGGGACGCAGCACCTTTTCTCTGCAAGCTATGCAAGCAATTCTTGAGCCACGGGGTGGCAGTGGGAATGAATTCATCGGGCTCATGTCATACATGCCAATACTATATATGCATTGTGTAAACACGTGTGCCAAAATTTACATCACCCCCCCACCTTCCCCTTTTTTCCCAATGCGACCCTCCCCCCTTCCCCTCCTTTCCCAATGCGATCCCCACCCCTCGCCCTTCCCCCTCCTTGTTCCCAATGCGACCCATCCCCTCCCCTTGGCAACGCGACCCCTCCCCCACTTGTTCCCAATGCAACCCCAATGCCCCCCCACCCTCCACCTTTTCCCTATGCGACCCGCTCCCCCACCCCCCACCCCTTGTTCCCAATGCCCCCCTTCCCCTTGTCCCCTATGCCCCACCCCTCTCCCCTGGTTCCCTATGACCCTCCCCCAAACCCGACCCCCCTCCCCCCCCCGACCCCCCCCCCCCCACCCCCCTCCCCTTGTTCCCTATGCGACCCCTTCCCCATAAGTGCGCAAGTGAGTGAAATTTTGTGGTTAAGTGCGCAAGTGAGGGTAAGTGCGCAAGTGAGTGAAATCTTAAGTGCGCAAGTGAGGGCTTTGCCCCCCTGCAGTTATAAGTTGGTCTAGGAACCCCATAAACTATACTTACACTCCCAATAAACTTACTTAGTGGTTAACAAGCCTAGAGACTGTAAGTCTCCAATTCGGGGAGATTAAGCCATGCATATGTAAATCTACCCCATTTCAGTGATGTATAATCTACCAGTGATGTATAATCTACCAGTTACAGGAGATATCATCCCAGTCATTTTCGTTGTGCAACCTTCATTTTGAGCTGACTTTCCTAGTTAAACCTCCATTTTCTCCATGTTTAGTTGATTTTCCTAGTTAAACCTCCATTTTCTCCATTTTTAGTTGATTTTCCTAGTTAAACCTCCATTTTCTCCATGTTTAGTTGACCTCCATGTTCTCCATGTTTAGTTGATTTTCCTAGTTAAACCTCCATTTTCTCAATGTTTAGTTGATTTTCCTAGTTAAACCTCCATTTTCTCCATGTTTAGTTGATTTTCCTAGTTAAAGCGCCATATTTTCTCCATGTTTAGTTGATTTTCCTAGTTAAACCTCCATTTTCTCCATTTTTAGTTGATTTTCCTAGTTAAAGCGCCATATTTTCTCCATGTTTAGATGTTTTTCCCATAGAAATACCCATAAAAATGCATTCTTACTTGGTGGCTCATCCAGTAATTCTTAGTCACACATGTAACTCAGCCCAAGAAAAGAAGTGGATTAACCCCAAAAATTAACCCTACATCAATCAGAGCCCACTTATATATATATACCT